CTCCGTGAATAAGTGAAGGTGAAATCATCTGTACCATTCATGTGATATTTATTTAAAATGAGTAAGACACAACCAGAGCCCTTCTCCTTTGGGAAGTATATAGGAGCTGAGTGTAGACAATTTGGGCCTTTGAGGAGTGGAAATAAATTGGACTGGTGAGCTGAAAAGCCACCTGGGCCTGAAGTTAGCTGTGGTAGTGGATGACATCTGATGGTTAGTTTTTGGATACCAACTTCTCCCTTTGGAGATATATGGAGTGGACCTGCCAATCATGGCTTTCTACTCAATCTCTTGGCTACAGAGCTAGCTTTGGCCCCAGGGGCCACCAATCATAAAGTCTTGTTTGCTGACCCTAATAATATGCCCAGAGTTAGATTCATCTGTTTTGGTGGTGAAGACAAAGGCAATTGACATTTTTGTGTTTTGGACTTTGAAGGAGAAGAAACAGAGATTTCTAGGATCTCCTTTCTTTACTATGTGGAGTCATCTATCTGTGGAAGAGACTAGACTCAGAGTGCGGCCAGCAGAAATGGTGGAAACAGGGCCCGTGAATACTGAGCCTGCAGTTGCAGTCTACCCTAGGGCTGACATGACTCTTACGCTCCTAGTACTTTGAATTTAATCCTGTTATTTTCCATAGTTCATGATTTAATACCCTCACCTTCTGATTAAACATCTGTGAGTTGAGCTGTTGTGACAGTAGAGAGGATTGGGGTAAAATAGTATCATGAGGCCCTTGTGACATTGCTTTATGGCTCCTTATACATCCTGCATCAGTGCTAGGTGGGAACTGTACAGTGCACCTCTGTGTCAGGACTTGAGGGAACTCAGTGGTCACTGAGATCTCTTGTTTTTATCAGTATATGTTTGTGATATACACTAATTTATTTTGAGTATTCGGTAGATAAACATACTGCTCCCTGATCATGTGTATTCCCCCTTTCTCAACTACCCTCTATCCATTTTTTATTTGTTGATTGGACTGAGACTCATTGCAAGAAAGAATATTGTTGTGATCATACAAAAAGTTGATGCAAAGCCAGAGCTAGAGAGTCAAGGGGCTTTGTTCTCAGGTTAGCACTTCACAGGATTGTGGTACATGAGGTTCCAGAGAAAGCATTGCAGCAGATAAACTAAATCTGAATGCGCAAGATCAAGAGGTCCCTAAATTTGACATTGGGGCAAACTTACCTCCTTTTAGACCCAGTGCAAGGGTTCTAAACTGCTAATCTTCCAAGACAAGAAAAAGATTTAATTATTTTTGGGTTAGTCTGACTTTTGGAGATAGAACAAGAACTTAACTCTCAGTACCCAGGAGGCAAGTGACCAAGGTAACTTCATAAATAAAACCTACCTGCTTCTACCAGTGTTATGGGTTTCAAAACATATCCAACTAAATGTCCACTGGGGACACCAAAGAGGCTGGCCAGTGGGAAGGACATTTCTGCTAAGATAACTATAGGCTATCATTGCAATAGGGGCATCCCTTCCAATTCCCAGTTTTTAAGGGTCTCTTTTGTATACTGGGGCCTGAAAGTACAATTTTGTTTTAAAAAGGGTTTCACTTGAAATGAAAAAAGACATACAACTATTAGTCTGATGAAATTAAACCAACTTACGCTATTTCCTACAGAGTGGTAATCAGACTCTGTACTACATGTCTGAATTGGAGGGAACGTCAAAAGTCAAGAGGATAAGTAGGAAATATCCTAACCAACACTTCAATGAAATAAGAAATTCCAACTAATGCTTCAGTGAAATAACTACATTTTACCTCATTATTGGAGATAACAAATCAAAGTTTACTTTCTGATAAACTGTTTTGATAAATATTAATCAAATGATTTATATCAAGACAGCATCTTAGACAAAAGGCCCCATGCCTGTATTGAGTAATTAAGAAATACAGCCTCATGTACTGGTTCGTTCACTAGATAGAGTGCCCATGCCCTGGGTTCATTGTACTAAATACAAGTGATACTACTAACGTGTAGTCACGAACATAGCTAGGACTGTGACACCTAGAGAGATTTTAGAAGTTCATTTTTGCCTTTCACCCAAACTTATTTATTTTTTAATTTTTAAATTTTATTTAAAGAAAAAAACAAAATGGAAAAAGGGTAGAAATAATACATAATTTCAAAAACATATTAAGAAATCACTAGCTGATAATTATATATTGTTCTCTTACAAATAAGTTATTCAAGTTACAAAAGTGAAGCATACAAAGTGGACATTCAAACAGCGAAATGCAAACAATTCTGTTCAACTATCTAACAAAAACTTGGTAATACGATTATCAATTCTATATACTTAAACATATGTGCAGTTATATCTATTAGAATACTTTCTTTTCCTCTCTTTCTTACAATAGCAATTGCACATTTTGAGTTTTATTACTCCTATATTTCTTATTACTTTTTACACTAGAGACACAATGTGATATTTATAAATATGCTTATTTATTTCACTAATGAGGATAGCCTCAAATTGTCTGCATTTGCCTATGAAGGCCTCAAGACCCAAGCTTATTTTTAAGACTTACCTTTAGGCAGAGGAAAATGAAGTTCACCAGGAGGTCAAGATGGAAAAGGGGTTTGGCAAACTAATTTTGAGTTCACATCTTCTCAACTTTGGAGTCTTTCTCTTCCATGCCAAGCTCAAGGAGCCTGTAGCCAGTATGGCTCTCCACTCAGTTGTTCCCTGCCTGTCTGAAGACAAGGTTGCCAGGCTATTTGCTAAAATCTTTTTTGGATCTCAGTGCCATTCTTTTTCTATTAGGGTAAGTTAAAGACATCTTCATAACTCAGCCAGGTGGCTGCTCTCAATCTTTGACTATGACCTTTCAAAGCCACAAACATCATAGCAGACCAAGGATGGAGGAACCCACTGATTCATTAAGATCCCGTTGGAGAAGATAAAACTTTGGTTCTAGCCTTGAGCATGATGAACATAAATGGTTTCAAGTCACTTCAACCACCTGGCTCCTTGTACCTTTACTAATGGAATGAAGGGGAAAAATTTATATTTTCCCAGAGGAAAACTAGCATTCATTTTTCTAGATGGATTTGTTTAGTTAAAATGAGCTACTAGAAGAGATTAATTCTTAGTGGTATAACAAAATAAGTCTTTAATTCTTTTTACATCATTATCAACAGAAAGATTCTTGTGGCCTTTCTTGTGGCTATTCAGTGACCCAGGCTCCTTCTGCTTTGTGGATCTCCCCTCTTTTATGTTGGTTGTTGCTTTTGTTTCCAAAGTGAGTGGTAGAATAAGCACTCATGTAAATGATGCACAAAATCAAGATAATTTAAAACATATGAAGTGCAATGTTGGGAAAGATTGAAAGACAAGAGGCACTGGTCATAGGCCAGGGTTATAGATGCCTTACATCCATTCCAACTCTATGTTTTTGACATATGTCCATATGTAAGAGCAAGGCATAGGAACTATAGTCTAGCTAGATGAAGAAGAGGAAACAGGTTTGCTAGATGAGCAGCCAAATGATTATTAATAAGTTGTGCTACTTGAGCCTACCTTGGTGTCTTACTTTTTACTCATCGCTGAGACAAAATACCTGATGCCCAAAACTGGGAAAGGAAAGGTTTATATCTTACATTTCTTGGTTTTAGTCCATACTCAGTTGGCTCCCCAAGGCAAGGTGGCATGGCAGGGCTGCAGTTCATGGTGGCTGCAAACAGCAAGGCAGAAACCAGCAAGAGAGAGTGAGACACACCTTCTTCCTGCCATTATATCATATCCTGGCTCCATCCCCAGGTGGGTGTAGTACTCACGCCACCAATCCGAATGCTAGACAATGCACCGGTCACAAATGTATAATTGCATGAGGCTTGGGGGCCACTGACGTAAACTGTGACACTTGGGCACCACTTAGTGAGGTCCTGTCTCAAAATAAAAGATGGTGGGGGATATAGTTCAGTGGGAAGACCCTGAGTTCAATCCCCAATATCATTATAAAACAAAACAATTGTTCTACTTTAGAAGGCAGTCCCTCTTTGCTATCCATCCTATAGAAATTTAAAATCATATATATTTTGATACAATCATAGGAATATCCTCCAGGAAGGTGCTGCAATAATCCAGTGGGAAGATGATAGTAGTTTTTATGAGGGACTACAATCATGTGACCAGACTTCCCCAGGAAAGGCAGAACTGATGCCCCTGATGTGATTTCACACTCATCCAGTTGGTATCCACTCTTGAGTATCTCAGCTGAGATACAAATCGTATAATCATTGAGCCCGTTATGGGGTAGATGATGTAAGAGAACATGAGATTGTGTGAAGATACACACTATTGCTTCAAAAGAAGCCATACAACAATGTTCCATAATCAATTTTGTTTAATTATGTCACATCTCCCATTCCTGGCCCACTTTGCCCTACAGGATTTACCTTTCCACTCTATGAAGTTGGTGCTATAAATTTTCCACTCAGCCTGTTTTCAGTTATTTAGTATGAGCAGATAATGTTGGCATAGAGTAATTTTGCCTGTCTTCTTTGTATATCCCATAAATCTTGGACTTTTGCACAATTGATTTGAGATTCTGTAGCCAACAGTATCCATCTAATGTTTATTTTACCTCCATCTTTCTTTACTGCCAAACCATTTTTTTTTTCAGATGGCATTACTGAGACCTTGATCTTAGGGTTTCCCCAAGGAATATTTGTGATTTGCTTAAAACCAACAATCAAAACAGGTATTGTGGCTCATACTTGAGAAGCTGAGAAGGAAATAACACAAGTTCGAGGCCCGCCTAGATACCCTAATGACATCCTTTCTCAAAAATAAAAAAAGGAAATACAGGGTTATACTTCAGTGTGTAGGCTGTGAGTCTGATCCCCAGTATCAAGGGGAGAAGATCTCTGCCAACAGAGCTCAGTGGTAGAGCACTTAGCGTAAGACCCTCGATTCAATTCCTAGTTGCCCCACCACCACAAAACAAACACAGAAACAGAAACAAAACACAAAATACGCTGTTCCATAAAGACAATTTTTATTTTAAAATTCTGCATCTGAAAACACAGTATGACAGAAAGCATCTATATACACCTGCAGTGTTTTTGGTATGATACAGTTTTAATACATCCACTTTTCTGCAAAAAATTTTGCTTTGTCAGACAGAAACAAACTCCCCTAGACAAAAAATACAGCTAAGGCACAATTTTGTTGTTGTTGTTGTTGTAGTTGTTGTTTTTCTGCTAAATGAAGACAGAAAGGGTGCAAAAATGGGCAGGTAATGCAGTCGTTTCTGAGAATCACATTCTACCTCGAGGAAAAGCGCTCAGGTGATTAGAACTTTGATTATTGGTCAACTTCAGATAGTTCAATCTCTCTTAAAGTACTCCTTTAAATAAATAGCAAAATATCTACATCTTTCAGTGTGTGCCATGTGAACTTTCTCTTTTTTTTAAAACTTTATTTACAGATTCTCTTTTTTTAAAATCAATACATTACAAAATATTTCTGTACAGTTTTATGCATATTATGATCTATAACAAAATAGTTATTTTTAAAAACTATATCACCGCATGTCTTTGAAAACAATGAGGGAGACAGTAATAATTTATCATGAGGCCTCTAAAACAAATGCTATTGACAACATAATAATATTTTAAAAAGAAGACAGAAAGACTACAAAGATGATTGCGCTCCATTCCAGTGAATTTCCTATGAAAACCCTGGGGTTGTCTTTGGCCTCCATCAGTGCTAGAATGATGGAAGATCAAGGATGGAGTCTGAAGGCAGGGAGGGGATGATCCCTTTGAGAATTCGACCCATCCGCTGGGAATATTTAATGCTATTACTTTTCAGCCAGGAAGGACGAAGAGATAAATTGAGAAACTCTCCTGACTTACCCTTGATGAAGTACATGAAATCACCCAGTCTTGGGGGGAAGGGGGGTTTGGAAAGCCAAGATGGTGAGCACCCTGCTGGTAATGAAGCCAGCCCCTCACAGCAATGCTCTTTAAGAGAGTGCTTCAGGAGTCTGCTAAGGTTCATGTGAGCTCTCGCGCCTCCATTTTGCCCATAGGAAAAACAGAAGAGCATTTTTCTTAAAGATGACATTTGTGAGCAATTTCTATTGTATCTGTGAACTACAAATCAGCAGCCCCTGACTCAGGAGTCTGCCGCAAAAGGCTTCAAGATGCTCTTTTTCTTCTGAACGGTGGTGAAGATCAGAGGGAGAGGACATCAGCTTTCCCAAATAATTTTAAGGCCACATGTCAAAAAGGAGAAACCTAAGGCTTTTTTGGAAAGTATGGGTAGGAGAAGCAAGTTGGAGGAAAATGCAGAAAGAAGACAGTATCAGGACAGTATAACAAGGTGTGGTGCCTGCTTCCCAGTGCCTGCAGGCAGAGGCAGTTGGAGAATTTTCAGCCAAGCAGGGAGAGAAGAGAGGCCATTGTCTCCCTGCACAGGGCTTGGCAAGAGCTGAACCAAAGACAACGAGAGGGGTAGACATGGGTGGTGCATCAAAGCCCTCCTCTGTCTCCAGAGGGTCCTATACAGTATCTTGTTTGCAGGGTATAAAGATAATACTTCGAAGTTAGAGAAAGAGATGGAGGAATAGAGAAGAGAGAGAGAGGAGAGACAGAGAGAGAGAGAAAGAGAGAGAGAGAGAATGAGAGGAAGGAAAGGAGGAAGGGAAGAAAGGAGAGAAAGAGACAGAGAGAGGAAGGAGAAGAGGGAGGAGGGAGAGGGAGAGATTGCATAGATTGTACATTTAGCTCCAGCAGACATGGACACCTTCACTCCCCTCCGGTAAATTTCTCAGCAGACACAGTGAGGTAGCGCCTGAGGTTGACCCATGGGCAAAGTCAGGTAACTGAGGCAGAAGCAAAGAGAACAACCTGTGAACAAGTACAGTTCTACTTGGTTTTGGGAGAGGTTTTCAGAGGTGGCAGATTGATCACCAAGACTCAAGATTAGGAGAGTCCAGCTGTTTCACTCAGCACTCCCTTGTCCTGCACCCTGTCCTTGCCACTTCTGCCTGGCATGCTGGAGTCCTGGATGATGAGGGTCCAGGCAGATAAGGCCCTCTGGATATCAAAGGCCTCCTGTTTCCCTTTAGCACACACTGTCTTGGGGCTAAGAGAGCTAACAGGACAGCCTCCTGTGTGGAATAGCTCTTGGGTATAGGACGACTAGTTAGAAATTCCTCTTTTAAAAATCCAACAAGAATTATTCTTTTGCTAATCCTTGTGTTGGATCTTTTCCTCCCTTCCACTGGGCAAGACCTCACCTCATTTGCAGCCATCTCTCTAGAGAGCAGAGTTTGCTGGGCATGTATAAGTGGAACTATGGGATTTTTTTCCTCACCCTGTTAAATAGCTAACATTGGAAGGTCATATTTTCTGTAAACATATGTTTTTCTGGCTTTTCATATCAAATTGAAAGATGCCATTGCAATAGGCTTGTATCCTCGAATGCAATGACAGGCTGGAGCTGAGTAGCAGCTGTTCTTTCTTGGTGGGCCCCACATGTGCCAGTAAGACCAGTCCCCACCACTCCCTTTGTCTTGCACCAATGGCTTCTTCAGTCATTTGTGTCCTGGTCCTTAGTAAGCACTCATGACTCCTGCACTGAGTGGCCCTGTGATCTGGCAAGCCTTCTTGGCATGCTCAAAGCTGAGCATGCCGATAGCAGTTCCCAGTGTACTTCCCAGCCTTGAAATGCTGCTGGGGAGTTAGTGTCCCAAATCTTCAATGAACTTGGTTGTAAAAGGCATTCTTCCTCATATCTCCCACCTGAAAGTTACTGCTCTTGTCTATTCTGTACCTTCTTGGCAGAGATAAGTTCCAGCCAATGTCCTCCTTATGTATCTGCAAACTAAGAATCAGGAGAAGGGTCTTTGTATATCTAGAGTAGTGATAAACCAGCCCTCTAGGCTAGGGGTTGTTTTGCCTTATTCTCTTCAAACTCTACATGAAGTTTAAAGGTTAAACCAACAATGAGAAATAAAACCAGGAGAACTCTCAATCCCACCAGAAAGGCTTTTGCCAGTGCAAGGAAGGAGCTCACTTCTTAAAGCAGAGGACCTTGAGAAATCACTCTTTCTCTTTGAGACATACTGCTTTGCACACGACTTGGGAAGTGGGATTTGGAAACTCTGGCTAATTTCTGAGATTCTTTTCTTCCTAAATGTTATTGAATCAGTGGGAAACAGAGGCAAACAACATCTAGGGACATTTCTTTCTCCCCATAAGCTGACACTCAAGTGTCCCCTCTGAGCTTTCCAGAGACTCTAGGGATTTGGTTAATGTCCACCCCATCCAGCCTCTACAGACAAGACTAGGGTTCCCAAAGAGTGTTGCTCTGGGGAGAGGGATCTCCTTGAGCCAGAGCTCAAGGATGCCTGACCAATTGCCTACAACAAATACATTATTTCAGGCAGGTATTAAAAATAAAATTGCTAACAATGGTTTTCCTGAGAAGCATCTATTTTTCTCAAATCATGCTGGGTGTTGTTTGGAATTCTCTTTTCTTATCAAATGCAACATCTGCAAAATTATTCTCTGGTCCAAAAACAGAGGAGACAAAGAAATACTGATGTGACTTTCCAGCTCCCAGAATTGGTAGACAAGTGAGGAGGGCAGCCTGGGGGAGGAGGGTTGTGCCTACAGTAAGACACCTCTTCCATTTCTTCACTTGTTCTAAAATGGAAAAAATAAGTCAGAAAGGAGGGGCCTTGCCTTGGAGCCTGAAATGCCCATTGTATTCAGGGACCTGCCAAGGCTGAGCTCCTGCAGCCACTGAAAATAACACTGTAGAAAGTAGAGAGCCCTAAAATCTGAGCAAAGAGGGTAAAGAGGAAACCCCATCTCCACACGGGGCCCAGATCTCAGCAGCCTCAGAGAAGCCCTGGCCAGAAGCAGAGGCTGGGGCAGAAAGAAGATGTGGTACTGGACTAATGGTTCTTGTAGTTTGTAAAACCACTTAAAGATCCTGTGAGAAAGTCACTCAGGGCCTAAATTCACTGTGGATAACTACCATCTCCTAGTCTCTCCTAGCTGGGTCCCATGACCCATGACCTACTTGGAAGAAGCCTGTTCCCGTCTGTCAGTGTCATATCAAGACTCATGGTTAGGTTGACTATGGGGAGTCCCCAAAGGCAAACAGTTCCATGCAGCTCTCTGCAGTCAGCACACTGCCTTCTCCCCAAGTTTTCTATGCTTGGGCAGGACAAGGGCCTTCAGGAATTCCAATACTCTTACATTTGAGTGGACGGATGAGGCTAACGCTCTGTATAAGGAAAAATGAGGCTCCAGAGGTCCCAAAGGCACCTACTTCATGCTGATAGATGAGGCCAGCTGAAGCTTTCTCATGGTGTCCCAAACCCCTGCTTTACTCTGGAAACAAGGAGAATGTAGGGCTGACGTACAGAGACAGAGACAGAATTAGAGATAGAGACAGAGGGAGACAAACAGGAGGAGGGGAGCCTTTCGTGAATAAAGGCAGTTTTAGTTAGTAAGATAACATAAATGACAAGCTGCAAAAACAGCACCTACTAATTAGTCATTGACTAAAACATATTAAATAATAAATATCTAGTGTCCCTTCTCTACGTCCTCTATTGCCAGTGGGACATCTTACCTTGCTGGGCAGGAGAGGGCAGCTCAGCAGGCAGCCCACTGAGGTGGGCCATAGTAAATTCACACCCATGCTGGGAAATGCCAAGGACAGGCTCACCTCAGATGGACAGGAGTGACTTTTCCCAGGGAACCTTGTCATTCAGGGGATGTGGAGGTCAAGGAGGAGGGGGTACTATGGGAAAGGTGCTCCAGACAAGTAGGGGGTAGCCCGTCAGATGCACATGGGAAGGAAACCCTTCAATTTCAGCAATTTGAATATTTTTTTTAAATTTAAATAACCTTTAGAAACATTTTTGAAACTTGATTGTTCTTATGATGCATATTCATATGGGCCTTTTGGCGTCTTGGAAAAGGAAGGGCATGTAATTGAGAACCAAGTCTGAAATGGATGTGAGAAGTCTGGTCCATGGGTTTGGTCACTGCCAACAGCACCAAATGTGCGATTCACAAAGGCTTTGGGGCCTGACCTCAGCACAGAAGGGCTCTGGCAGATGATGGTTATTACTGTGCTATCCAGCTCAGGAGCTTTGTTCCAAGCACTCTCATGAGTTTCGTGGCCATGATTCCCATGATTCCCACTTTCAAGGACCAAGGAGGTCGTGGCCTCAGTTTTGCAGCTCATGAGCCTTTTGGAGACATGAGGCTCACGCTCACGAAAACAACCCCATTTCTGCTGCCACATGTAACAGACTGGATGGAAGGTGGCCTAGACCCATGGACAGCTGCCAGTCGCACACTCAAGTAGATCTTTGCCAAACAGCTTTCCTGCTCTTCTACTTATCCCAAAGAATAGCTCAATGGGAGAGAGGCTGGTGGGAGGCTTGGAACTCTTCCCAAACCTGCCACTTCCTTGGGAGAGACCTAAGCCTGTGACCTTCTGTGGCCTGCTGTGTCAGGGCAGGCCAAGGGTTCCCAGCCAAAGGAGCAGAGAGAGAAGCAGAAGGGCAGCTGAAGCTCATATCCTCAGTCTGGGCAGTGTTTCTCACACTAGGTTGTGCAGAGCCCTTGGGTTCAGGAGAGGGACCTGAGGAGATGCCCTTGGCAGAAGGACCTCCAGCGGGATGAGCCTTAGAGGAAACCTTGCACTTTTCAGCTTCAACCACAGCAGCCTAGATTTTACCTGTACCTTGAATTTCTACCTACCACTGAGCTGAGTAAACAAAGTTCTGCTGCTGAAAATAAACGTTTAAGGATCAGTCGTGTTGAGGTGGGGGTGGGGAGACAGGTACAGATCATTGGAAGGGAAGACAGGAATCTGCAGGAGTTGAGGGTCAACCAGAAGGGGTGAGACCACCATGGTGCTGGCACGGAGCCATCCCCACCCCAGAAGGCAGCTTGCCAAATGCAGACTGATCCACTCTGGCCTTGGAACTCACCTCTCCCATTGTTTTATGGCCAGGAGGTACACCCAGAGTGGGAGGCCAGGCTTCGGGTCTTTCTGGCCGCTTTCCTGTTGAGATTATGTTGTGGTCCACATATGGCCAGTGCTACCTGAGCCGGCCATCGGGTTTGACTGCCCCCAGCTCTGACTTGGGGTCGGGGCTGAAGGAGCTCCAGGCTGTCTGACTGCAGGTCTGCATCACTGGGCAGGAGGTAGGGCCTGTGGCACAGATGTCCATAGCGGTCCACATCTTGCCCACTAGTGAGTCCAGCCAGTTCTCCAGCGCTGCACCTGTAGCAGCTGCGTTCCTCCGAGCCTGCTCCACCTGGGCAGGGATTATGGGCAGGCTGAGGACGGGATTCAGGCTCTGGAAACTCTGCTCCATGTAGGCACTGCGGAGGGGACCATTGTGCAGCCTCAATGCCTCCTCTAAAAGCCAAAGAGAATGACAATATGTTTAGAAGAGCTATTAACTGGGTACCTATGTACTGTGTACCTGGTGCTGCACTGGGCACTGTGTATCACCTCTTTTAATTCACATAACAGTCTCATGGGTTTTAGCAGTCTGATTTTATAGGTGAAGAAATGGCCTACTGGGACAGAACTCACCTTGTGCAGGGCTGGGTGCTTCCTCTATTTACTTAGGACCTATTTATGAAGCCTCTGCTATGGTCTAGAAACTCACTCATATCACTCTTAAACATCTACTTTGTGCAAGGTATTAATTCAACATATACTTATTAAACATTTATTATTTTCAAGACATTTGCTGATTTAGTTAGAAGATATAGATATATGGAATGCCTATTACTGCACTTAACAGGCTCCATTCTAGGTAGAGGAATGGACCAAGAAGACAGTTTATGTTACAGTGGTGGCAAAGAGGTCACATTCTCAGTGGACAGCATCTTTGCTTCCACTCTGCAGAAGATGGGAGGCTAGCAGATTTGCTCAAACTGACAAAAGGCAAAATGTTCAACAGGAGCAGCTAATGCACATTCAAAGCTTGGGAACCAAATACTGTGGTTACTGCAAAAAAAAAAAAGAAAAAAGAAACTCATGAAAAATAAGGTTAATGTGGGAAATGGTGTTACGGTATCAGCTAGTGATGCTTGCCTCTATAATTAAATTTTCCTCAATTCCACCTCATCAGATTTCTTGAGATTACCAGGGACGCATGAATAGCAAATTACTGGTGATGAATCATTTTACAAATTGCATTGCTCCCACCTTCATGTTCCTTGTCATTGGAACATCGTTAATAAATACAATTACTGACATTTGGAGGGGCTGCTCCCAAAGGGGAAGAAGGACTCCTGGGTCTTCCTGGACATGAGTGGAAACAGCTTTGCCTTCTTTTCAAACTGGGCAAAACTGCTGGAAAAATCAGGACCCAAGGCATGGGCCCAGGCTACCTGCCTGGGATGGGGATGGATTCAGGACTACTCTGTCTATAGTCCTAAGCATGCATCGGAAACAGTGAGGATGCTATCCGTCATTTCCATCCCTGTCCACATCTGACTTTAGGACACTGAGGGAAGGTTGGAGGTGCCTCTGACAGAGACACCTCAGGATCTTAAGAGGATGGGCTCTGGCCTGGCTAGTACAAGAAAAATTGTCTTTTGCCTGCTTCATAGAGGAGTAAAGAAACAGGCTTCCACCTCAAACAAACATGAATTTTGTGTCTTTAGATTTGCTCAGGACAAAGGCTTGGTAAAAGCTGGGAGGTTTCATGTCAAGATTCCCTTATGTAGGATGTCTATATCCTTGTCTCCTTGCACTATTGACAAAATGAATGGCTCAGAGTTCTTTCCACCTAACAAGGACAATAACATGCTTCACACTTCTGAGTTTATGATTTGTTCTATGAACAACTCTAAATACACCCAACCCTCCATACCTAAGGGCTGTGCAGTCACAAACTCAACCAACTGTGGATCGAAAATATTTGGGAGAAAAATTGGATCTGTACTTCACATATACAAAATTTTTTTTTCTTGTCATTATCCCCTAAACAATACAGCATAGTAACTGTTTACACAGCACTTATGTTGTGTTAGATAGAGATGGCTTAGAGTAATGCATAATGTGGGTAGGTTACACGCAAATACTATGCCATTTTCTATGGGACTTGATGACAAACGTGGATTTTGGTATCCATGGAGGTCCTGGAATCCATTTCCTGCAGATAACAAGGGATAATTGTACTGATACCCAAAAATCCCGTTACTAGGTGCCTGTTTTATGGATTTGCCTGTACAAGCACATACAATTTCATGTCCAGGAATCGTCTTGCAGCATAATCTGCAATAACATCATCAGTAACAACAGAAGCAGTATGTCCACCAACTAGGGCACAGACAGATTGTGACTCCTTAACCCAGTGGAATTCCATGCAGCTGGTAGGGTCTAGACACTAATTTAAAGAGTAATCTTGGGAAGTTTCAGTACAAAATGTATTGCTGTGTTCCATTTTAAAAAGCAACAATATTCCTAGGACTTGCAATGTGCTACGTGTTTGTTTTAAAAACACTGAAAAAAATCTAGAAGGATGTATGGCTAAATTGTCAGCAGTGGTTGCTCCTGGAGGTGGGATTTTAGCAGGGAAAAGGTTGTTCCATTGATAAAATAAGGTGGAGAAGGAGACACAAACATGTAAGAGTAAATGCTTAGGGATTAGGTAGGTAAGAAATGTTAGGAGTCTTGTTTGCCTCTCTGTTCTTCATGAAGACCACTGGCCTGCAATCTGTGTTTATCATAGCCTTCCTTTGCTTACAGTTTTCTATCCACACATGGATGGTGAAGTAATATACTGGTGGTTTTTTCCTGGCTTTGAACTTCAAATAAATGCACCCTAGTTACGATTTAGTCTGTGATTTTCTTTCCCTCAGCATCACGCTTTCGAGAATCTTCACAGATGACACCTATGGCTGTGCTTTGATGATGTTAGTGCAGCACAGGACTCAACTGTACAAAGAGACTACCAACGGTTCTTTACATACGGGACATTTTCATGGCATCTGATTTGGGGCTAACGTGAGCAATTGTGCAAGGGCCATTCCTGTGCAGGTCTTTAGGGACTAGGCCCAGGAGTGGAACTTCTGTGTGCTAAGAAGGGGTGTGTATGTTTGGCTTTAGAAGGCAGTGCTAACTAACTTGTCCTCTAAGCTCGTTTTATATGTTTATCCTCCCATTAGAACCGGCTGGATGTCCCTTATTTTTCATCCCCACTAACATACTGTACTGCCCAAGTTTTGTAGTTATTTGCCAACGTGGCAGGTGTGAAGCAGGGACTCTTTTTGCTTTTAATTTGTACTTCTCTCATTATTAACAAGAGTAGTCAATTCTTACATGTGTTTGGACCATTCATCTTATCTCTTTTCTCTGGTTTTGTTTTTTTTTTTTTTTTTTTAATAGCAGGGATTGGTGATCCTTTATTTTTGTGAAAGGCCTGATAAATATTTTTTCTCTGGAAGCCACACAGGCCATTTTACAACTATTCAGCCTTGCCACTGTGACCCCAAAGTAGAAACAGACACCAGGTAAATGAATGGGCATGGTTGTAAAGGTTTATGTACAAAACCTAGCAGTGCTTGTGGTTTGTTGTTTGTCTACACCTGATTTATGGGATTTCTTTATATATTCGGAATACGAGTATTTTTCAAAAGCAACTATCTTCCACTACTTTCTCTTTCTCCTTGGGATTTCATACTTTTGGTGAACAGAATTCCTATGTTAATCCTTATTTCATAAACAGTAAGCAAGACTTGCTGAGATTCAATATCTGCCTTGTATTGTTTCTCATATTGCCTTAAACATGATCAGGGCCTTTTGAAAGTCTAGTGGGAGAATACCTAATAAATAGATATCTGCTACATAGGCAGACAATATCACAGCATGTGGGTGGGAAAACAGATTGTTTTCCAGGGCAGACAAGTAGCGGAAAGCACAGAAATCAGAGACTGCTCTTCTGCAAAACAGCCACATGCCCGACAAGAGGGCACATTGTCTCCGAGTCTGTGTGGAGGGACTCTTTCCCCGCAGAGACATTGGGAATACTCACCTGGTTTGATTGGCTGCCTATTTGAGAAGGTCAAAGGTGCAACGAGGAATTTGGTCTCTGCGACGGGCACCCAGTGGTGAAGGATTTTCACTGTCCAGACCCCAGGCCTCAAGGGCAAGTTCAAAGGGGGTTTGTAGTGGGTGAATTCAGCAGTGGATTCAATCAGGATGTCGTAAGTGGCTGCGATGACATTTACGGGATCCACCCAAATGACAGTCACGGTCACATTGGGCCCTTTCCCCCATTTCTGCATTCCTACTGGCTCATCCATGGGCCCCAGGAGACCACCAAAGTTTCTGAAGAGCCGCTCCTTGGCATCCCAGTCTGTGCCGACCTGAAACAGGAGTCAGTCATAAAACCACTGGGTGATAGGGTGCTGGTCCCCAAAAGGCTGAGAATCCTGCTAGCAAGGCTTCATACAACCATTTCACAGATGAGGAGACTGATGCTTCTATTGTTCCTTACTCATGACTGCACAGCTGGCAAACAAAAATCTGGGATTTGGACCTAGTCTGGGGGAACACAGGCTTGAGGTCCCTTTACTAAACCATGGGTTTCCTGTGCCCATACTTGGTATGTATTTGGACACAAACCAACAAACTCAAAACTATGCATGAAATACCCCAATGAGTGAATACCAGCTTGCAGGCCATTCCCAGAAACACATCTCTTGCCATGGAAGAGGTATGGCTGGTTTCTGTTTAGGTCCTCAGTTTTCCTAATCAAATGCCTTCATCAAGTGTACTGGATCTGAACAAGAATGGAGCTCCACCACTGAGCAACCTCATTAAAAGCTGGGAGCTCCAGTGGTTCTCTGGGGAGGAGCCAGCTTTGGCTTCCTTGGCTCATCTGAGACAGGCCCTAGGGATAGGAGATGCCCTGTGATGCATCCTTCTCATCAGCCAACTGGGAGATTGTGTGGCTTTGACTCCCAGGATTCTGCTCTTGACTTCCATCCTTCCACTTTGCTGCCTACAATGTGCTCTCTACTGAGAAGTCAGAAAGCGCTTGCCTGAGGGGTCCTGGCACACTCGGGTCAGCACTAGTCCTACCATACATAGATGGCACAGAGCCCTTGCCTGTCCCTAGATGTCTTTCCCACCCTTCACCCCATGTAGGACTCCCCAACCCGGGTTCCTGGTCTGTCTCTCTTGCTGCAATATCTTCTGTTATACCCCTGTTTGTGGCACCACTTTGGAGATCTCTGATCCCTGAATCAAGAGTAGCCCTTGCCTTGCTCTCTGTCATTTCCACTGTCTTATTTGCTTTCTACCAGTGGGACCACGCACCACCTTCCACCTGCTACCTCCTCCCATTAAGACACTGATTCTGTGTGAATGGAACCTTCTCTCCTTGGCTTTCTACTCTTTCCTGGTGCCCACTAATGGGTCCAGCATACAGTAGGTGCTCAAGCAACATATATCCAAGGAATGAGTGAATGATTTGATGAAACCATGAACTATATCGATCCTCAACACTGAACTCTGTGGTTATTTCAAATCAAATCCAATGAGAGGACTTCTAATTTGAGAAAAAATGGCACTGTCACAGGAGGGTTAATCTGAAACACAAAGATGAAGCACGCAGACACATTGGTATATATGGTGTGTGGTGCTGGGTAGGCATTGCCTCTCCAGTGTGTGTGCAGGTGGGTATACATGTCCACTTGGGGAAGTTGGCAGAGTGCACTGGAGATAGGAGCTACTTCAGTCTCTTCTTGTCCTCCCCTTGAGTGACTATGTCGCGCGCTCCACATTAATACCCACAAGGAGCTGACTGGGTGCCAGGCACAACACGAGGCACGTGGTTGCATCAGTATATTTCCTATTCCCAGCTCCGAGAAGAAGAGATCTGATTACTATACACAAATGGAGAAACCAAGGGAAGGAATTTGTGACCACTTGTGAGGGTAGAGAATCTCTAGAATTTTGTCATCGGATTTGCCAAAGAAACAGAGATGAGCACTTCTTTAAATCTGAACTCTTAACCAAGAACACAAGGGGAAGGACAGCTATGGAGGAATGGACAGAAAAACACCAGTGTCTGGTTTCTAAAGTGAGGAGTACAAGGAGAAAATCAGCTGCCACCAGTGTGTGAAGATGGGGGTCAGGCCGAGACAGAGCTCTGGCTACCATCACATCCCCACGAAGAGCTCGTGACCTCTGAGCTCTTCCCCTGGGCTTCTCTGTGGAGGTCCACAGACTTATTGCAAAACTATCAATTAGCTGAATTTAAATATGAGTTCAAGTTCAAGCCTGATATAGTGCTTCCCAGCTCCCAACCCACTCAAAGCTCCCACCACACTGAATATTTGCATAGGGCCTGCAAGATCCTGTCCCCTCTGGAAACCTAATGCCCATCTGATGTCCTCTCATCCTCTATGCTCTGGCCACCCTGACTTGTTGCTCCTTGAGTACTCCAGGCTCCTTCGTGGAGCCTCAGGGCCTTTGTACATGCTTTCTGTTTGGTTGGAATGTCTCAGGTTTCTCCTAGATAGCTCCTTTACTTGTTTCAACTCTTTATACTGATATCTTCAGGAAAGCCTTTCAGAATGTATCATCTTCTCTGAGGTAGTTTCCACTGACCTCCCAGGTCTTCAACAACCAAATGAATGGAGTTTCATTTTCCTTAAAACCCATATCATCAGCTGATCTGTTTTTATTCACTTATCTGCTGTTCTTGGCTGGCTTCCCTGTGGAAGCTTCCCTATGGAACACTGCAGTTCCATGACAGAGAGGCCTCAACTGTCTGGGTCACTGCTGTCCCTCCAAAGCCTTATATACACCATATGCACTCTGTGATAGCATACAGAAGAATGAGCTTCTTTTCTCCAAGTCAGTGGCATGGGATTGCCACAGACTGGAAAGAGCTATCTGAGTTGTTGAACAACATTGGCCACCTTCTGGACACCGTGTAAAGGCTCAGGAAGAGTGCAGTAACCAGAGAGACTCTTGATAGCCAGCAAAGCAGCCTGGAGTATCTTCCCTTCATTCTTGTTCAATTCTTTACCTTTTCTGGTAAAAATTAGCAAGAACTAGAAAAAAATCCAAAATATGAGATTAGGGATTTCTGCAACTCTTACTGTGATTTCTGCCAGTGATCTTGCTGGTTTTCTCACCAAGGCTACTAGAGTCATAGTAGAAACCCTCACAAATCACTAGCCATGGAGTGGCCACCAGTGCCTGTCACTGAAATAGGTACCAAGTCACCCAACAGCAAGCTAATAAACAGGCAGAGCCCAGACACCCGACATCCATCTCTTTAATGGGACATTAATGTCTTCAGTGGTTGCTCAGGCCCCCAGCACAGCATCCAACTGGGGCAGTGTCTAATTACCTCCTGACACCAGTAATTTATGGAGTAGGATTCCATGGCAGCTCAAACCCAGCCAATCCATTTGGAGCCTTTATTGAAAAGGTTGGTTTAATCAGAAATGCTTACTCATGGCTGTTTGACATGAGGACCCAGATAGTAGAGAACAAAACAGCAAGGCAGGACCATCGGTGTCTAAAGAAGGACTGGCCAGTAGAATATAAGCAGGCAAGATTGTCTCCCTCACCATACTCCTAGCTTCTCAAGTTTCTGTACATTCAAATATCAGACTCTTCATTCCTAACCCCCAGTTCATCAAGCTTAATCATTTCTCTAGCTATGTACTGATTCAGGGAAGGCAGAAATCAGCTGCTGGAGTTTCGTGGGGGCAGTACTCCCCACAATCAAACTTCCCTCTAGGATGGCCACCCAATTACACTTGATCATTCATTCAAAAATTATATTCAGAATCTACAAATAACATGTGCTTTTCTACAAATAGCATATGCTTTTCTGCAAATAATATGTGCTGGGAATACACCGGTGAATAAGAGAGGTACAGCCTTCACTGCTTTACGAGCAATTAATAAATGATCAGGTAAATCAATAGGATAATTTTAGGCAGTAAATACAAAGAAAAAAACTCATAGGGAAGTGGCAGTTAGGCGATGTAACTATTTAGCATAAGTGGGATTCAGGTAAGGTTTCTCTGAAGGTGCAGTATTTGAATTTAGATCAGAATGATTGAGAACGAAAGAAATAATAGATATCTGACAACCTGGGAGAAAGCATTCTAGATAGAGGGTCAGCACATGCCAAGCCTGAGGTTCGAACAAATATGGAATTTTGACAAAGATAGAAGAAATGTGTGTAACTAGGGAAGAGAATATTTCTGGATGAAGCTGGAGAGACAGAGAACAGAATATGTGGTATATTCTGGGCTTGGGAGCAGGGCTGAAGTTAAAGTGGGGTGACAGGTAAATCCATCTCTCCAGTCAGAAGAATAAGTAAAGGCTGGGGATGGGGAAACTCCATTCTATGAATTTTTGCATTCACACATGTATCTGTTCATTCCATGCACCCATGAGTCCATCTATCCATCCATGTATCTAGTCATCAGTCCTTGCATTCATACATTTATCCACTCATTCATCTATCTATCCATTTATCATTCACAGTCCATCCACCCATCTAAACATCCATCCATCCGTCTATACATCCATGCATGCACCCATCCATCATCCATCCATGCATCTATATATCCATGCATCTATTGATCCAGGCATTCACCTATCAATCCACTCCTGTAGTCGCTGATAGATGTGGAGTTTATTTTGAGCCAGACCCTGTGTAAGGCAGTGGGATGATAAAATAAAACTAAGCATAGGGTTTGTGTTCATAGAGGCTTAGGATCACTTTTGAATTCTTCGATTTCTTTGTTATGATCCAGAAAACCATATGTGCTCTATGGCCTCAATCCTCCAATCTGTAAAGTTGTTCTAATGACACTACTTCATTAGGAAACTGGCTTGTTATTGGCCTATTACTAACACAAGTTTAGGCAGTCACTAGCTAGGATGAAGAAGTTGAAGAAATTCTACTCCACAAAACAGATCAAAGTTCCAGGTTGGTTTCAGCCACTGACATCTTATCTCCTTACTCCCCTACTGTTCAAGATGCTGGTTCCAGTGTTTAGACCTAAAAGTCTTTGCCATGCCCAGAGTGAGCTCATCTTTAGAGCTCTATAAATCCCTTCCTCTATCTCCAACTAGAAGTGTCACACTGGCATAGAATCTGGTAAGGTGGCTGCAAAAGATGATGTGCACAGGATCTAGCCTCTTACCTCAGAAAACTGAAGCCTCCCAAAGTCACTGGGGGGACTTGCAATTTTGAAGACTTTCTTTGGCATCACCCATGTCTCCAGGGTCTCGAGTTTGCTCACGGCCAGATTGGTAGCATGATGCTTAATCAGAAAGCCCTGGAAGCGGTCAGCAAGGAAGTAGAGGTGGACAGATGCTGGGTGGCCCATTGGGTAGTATCTGAAAACACAAGAGCCTATGTGTCAGACCTGCCAAAACTGTGCTAGGCCTGCTCCTAAAATAGTCCTTGGTTGATGCAATGCTTACCACGTTCTTTTTCATCAGTCTGGAAGCTGCTTCTTATGTATCTTTGATCTCAATGACTATGAGTAACTTTTTTGCTGAGTTATAAATGTAAAGCATGCTGACTATAGGAAAGCACAATAAAAAAATAAAATTGCTACTTTTGATGCCTTGTCCCATAAATAACCTCAGTTCACAGATATTTATTGAGTTCTCTGGTGCTAGGTATGGGGGAGTGACAATAGTGTGCAAATGCTGTCTACCACTGCATTTCCCTGCCACTTTATTTTCTATGCATATATTTGCATAAATATTGCATAGCTGGGATCATAATGTATACACTGACTATATTTTCCTTTTGCTCCATAGGATTTCCTGAGCATTTTTCACATTTCTTTGAAACAACTCTAAAAACAAAATTGTGCATGTATGTGTGTGAGTTCACACATGGCTTCATTATGACATCTGATACATATTTTATAAAGTTCCATATCACTGGACCGTAAAGGATTTATACATTCTCGCTACTCTAAACAATGCTGCATTACGCATCCTTGAGCAAAGACATTGTTTTGGGATGTCTCTTTGTTTCTTCCTTAATCTCCAATGGACTCTTTAAGTCTGCTGCCTGTCAGATACATGATTTAGCTGTCACTGTTCTTACCACCAACACTGTGTCTCTTCTTTAAAAATTATCCTTAATCTGAAATACATACACATACAAACACAAACAGCCATAGGTAGGTCTCTTGTTGTTTTAAAGATCATGTCTTTGGTCCACAAAGGCTTGCTGGATAGAAGGTCAAGGGAACTAAGGAGAGAGAGGGGGAGGGAGCAGGGAGCAGAGAGGAAGAAGACCCCCAGAGAAGCTCAGCTCTTCTTTCCTCCAACTTGCAGAATAAAAAGCTGCTGCTTCTGCAATGTGTAAATGGCACAGCACTGAGAGGTTGCTCCTGGTCCTTAATAACAGCATTTGCAAATCACTGTCCCCATTCAGCTAAGTGCAGGCTTTTCTTTGCTTCTGATCTGGAATTTTAAGTCTTTATGTCCAATTATGACAGCTAGGGAAGCTGCCTTCCTGGGTTGACGTAGCTTCTGAAATCACTGCCTTGTTACTGGGATGCCTCTTGGACTCTATGAATAAAAGCCTGTCTGTGCTGGCTTTAGATTGCTGGACATTTGCAGCTCCTCCCAGCATGCTTAGGATGTAGACACTGGGAGCAGAAAGCCTGTACTATGCTGTCTCTATACGATAGCACCTAAGTTTAGACAGGGGTGTCCCACAGCCTTCTAAGATGATGGAAATGATCTGTATCTATGATATCCAATACCACTGAGCACTTGAAATCTGGCTAGTGTAACTGAAGGCATCACATTTTTAATTGTAGTTAATTTATGTTTAAATAGCCACCTGTGGCTCATTGTACCTGTAATGGACAACATAGACAGAGTTATGGGAGACTCTGTGGTCAGCTGGGTTGATATTCCTAAAGCTTCATATCTTCAATATTTAAGGAACTTTGCAGATTTCCTTGCATTGATAAGACAGAATCTATTTTCCTACTTTTGAATCTTCCAAGGGCACATTTCTTCCCAAGAAGCCCACATATTTCCAATTGCTTTCCTGCTCTCTGTTCACCATGTGTGCATAGTGAGCTAGCCTGCTGGAGGATGACACAGTATGGAAAGCCAAGCCACTGCAGTTGTCCCAGACAATGCTGCCCTGGGTCAGCCAACAATTCCGAGCCAAGAGCAACAAAGGCTGCCCTCCTGACCTCACCTTAGCTGGTCAGATGCAGCAGTGAGTTCATCTTAGACCAAGAACACTTCCCAGCTTATCCACAAACTTGAGTAAATGTTTCAAAACACAGATCAGGAGATGTTTGTTATGTGGCATTGTGGCAGCTGGTAAGAAGAGCTCTGTCAAGGTCTGTGTCATAGGGTGGTGGCTCTGTAGAAGGTGGAAGACAAGCAAGAGTGCTTGATGCCACGCAGTCAAAATAAGAAAGTGTTTCTAGAAGGGGGAGGTTAACTATACTGAGTGCTACCTGAGGTCAAGAATATGAGCAGGGGGCTGGGGATTTAGCTCAGCGGCATAAGCGCCTGCCTTGCAAGCAGGCAGTCGTGAGTTCGATCCCTGGTACCGATAAAAATGAAAAAGACAAAAAAAAAATATAAGCAATAATCAAGTGTACCAGGGGTCTCACAGTTCACTTGGGTGCTGGCCTTTTCTCATCTGCTACTGTGAAAGTCTATCTTCACTTGAATCCATCTTTCTGCCCTCCTTTTGTACTGTCAGAACCCTGGTGCAGGTCAGCGTCACTCCTCACTGGAGCTTCCTCATTCTTAGTCGTGACTCCTACCACGTATTTTCATAGCAGTCATGTCCATTGTGCCCTGCTTACATCCCGTGAGAAATGTGCTTAGTGGTGCAATAAAGCCCAAACTTCTTCCCTGCGCCTCATTTCTTCTTGTGCATTTCTTTTTTGAAGCAGGGTTTCACTGTGTAGCCTAGGCTGGCCTTGAACTCACAGTAATCCTCCTCGCTTAGCATCCCTAGTACTGGGATTACAGATGTGTGCCACTATGCCCACTGTGACTCTTTTCTATCCCTTATTTATTTCCCTCTTCCCCAAGCCATCATCTTCTAACACCTTAGGGACCTTATTTTGGATTCTGAAGTATACTAAGCTCCTTTCTGCCTCAGGGCCTTTGAACATGATATTCTTCCTGCTCAGGATGTTTCTTCCTTCTTATAAGCTGATGGCTGGTTCTGCCTTAACTTTTATGTTCAATCTTACCACCTCAATCATCTTGACTGCTGATTCTGAAGTCACTCTCTTGTCACTGCTTGTGGATTTACTTTCATTGTCAGTAAAACAGTTATTTATACTGATCTTTGGTTCTAGCTTACTTTGCTTGGGGACTGCTTCAAGGTCTTGGGCTCAGGGGCCCAGTCTCTACGGTCATAGCTGAAAGAGTGCCCAGTGCTTAGCACAGAGCCTGACACATGGTGAATGCTCCATTAGTCCTTTCTGAATGAGTGAAATATTTAGGATTTCTCTTGGCTCCTGTGCTTTTAAGGAACACATAGAGACTTTGTAACCCAGTACCAAACACAAAGCCCTCTGGTGCCTCATTGAGACTATGTTTGGTATTGAAGTAATTAAGCCTCATCTTTACCACATTTAGTACTTAAGTAATTAAAACAGTGCATTTACTAAAAAGAGAATTAATCAGGACACAAAACAATAATCTATAGGATGCTACAGATACATTCATCTGACCCAAACTAGACATTTTTGTTACTTAAATACAATGGGTACTGAAAAAAATTAAACAGACTCACATAAAAACTGGAATTTATGAGTTTTTCTAAAAAAAACATCAGAAGGTTCAGCTGGTAACTCAAGTCTGCATTCCAACAGCTGTTGTAGCACCAAGGACTCCAGGTGCTCTGGGCCCCACGCTGGGGCCACTCTGACTGGTACCTGCTGCTACCTGGTCCTGGAAAGGCATCTGATATGAAGGCCTGGAGTAAAATATCAACATCCTTATCCCTGCGTGGTGCATCGTAAGTGAGCTTTATTTTCTTGTTCTCTTAGGTTTGATTCTTCCATTTCAGGCATTTTTGCAATGCACATATGTTACTTTATAATGAGAACAAAATCAATAAGCATTATTTTTATGAAAGGTTATATTATAGACTGGAAATGTACAATGTGTAGGAATGCCCAGATAAAATGAGACTCGGTTTTCACTTGCTGTTTCCCCAGATACCCGAAGGGTAGCAATTCATCTTCTTTTGCCTTTTGGGATAAGGGTCTTTTGTCCTGATTTATTTTCAGGCTCCTACTCATAAATATATGGCTTTGCCCAAAGCATGGCACAATGGTTCCATCACAATAAAAAATGAGATAGAAACCCAAGGAATCCAGGCCTGAGGCAACTTGATGGCTTACTTCATCCAAAACAAGTACCAGGAGAAAATTTCAACAACCTTAAATAAATCGAGGGTGTCTTTTGAAATTTCGTATAAGATAACTCATGTTACACACTCTAGAGACCTGCGATTAAAACTACTCTAGGAGGTCATTCCCAAGTATGGGGCCCAGAGCTATGTACTGGGATGTATTCAGTATTTAGGTTCTGCCCTAGCCCATCTAGGGTAAGATACTCAGGGCACCCTTGACCTAAGGCACTGTAGCCTAGGCTGTGCTACACTGCAGCACAGGCCTTTAAAATCTTGAGAAAGTAACACTTGGATGGTGCTGTGCATAGCAAGAGGTTAGCTATAGGATGACAGAAGGGACTGTGAATAGAGAAATCATCATGAGTTCAGTAGGAGGTTCATATAACTGGATACCACCTCATATGACAGGTTCACTACTGACCAAGTTTGACACCTTAATTATAATGACTAGGACACCAGCAACAACATAAACACTACTGAATATTTAGTGTGACAAATAGTGTGACACATTACAATGATGATAACAACACTACATAGCCCTTAAGTGGATCTGGACAATTTTCTCCCTCAAACCTCACACTCCCTTGCGATGAGATTTATCATAGTTTGTGTCAGTGGCCCCCAGGCCTCATGATTTGCATTGTGCATTTGTGATTGGTTCATTGTCTAATACTTGGATTGATGGTGTGAGTGCTACACCCACATAGAGGTGGAGCCAGGATGTAATGTAATGGTAGGAGGAAGGTGTGTCTTTCTCTCTCTTGTGGGTTTCTGCCTTGCTGTTTGCAGGGCCCATGAACTGCGGCCCTGCCTTGGAGCCAACTGACTATGGACTGAAACCTCCAAAAACTTTAAGAAATAAACCTTTCCTTTCCCAACTTTGGGCATCAGGTATTTTGTCTCAGCGACCAGTAAAAAGTAACTAAGACAAGATTCTTCTCATCAGACAGATGCAGGTTCTACGGAAGCTCATAACTTGCCTATGGTCAACAGTAAATAGGTAGAGTTCACAGTAAAGGTCCTGGATCCCTAACACTCTTGTCTGGCTTTGAGCTATCTAGACCTGCAGAGAAGGCTGGGAACTAAGGAGGTACTGAAGATGACTGAAGCTTCCGACAAACCCTGCAGGCTCTACAGGGAAGCCTGCCTGGGTTTTCAGAAATAGTCCTGTTCTTTTTGTTTCTTCCCCCTTGGAGGAGAAGGAAGCATGGACAAAGAGGCATACCTGAGGAGTCACAGTAACAAGAGACTGAGCCTCAAAGACTAGGAAAAAATTTGCTATGTCGTTAAGAGAAATAAGTGGGATGAGAAGGAGAAAGAAGGAGAAAGAGTCATTAGAGGCATTTCTGGGATGCTAGCCTAAAAGAATCATCAGAAAAGAATTTTTTTTAAAAAAAGGCTTTCTGTAAAAAGGATATTCATCAGAACATTATTTACAGTGGCACATTACTGACAATAGCAACAGTAAAGGGCTGGATTAAGCAGACAGGCATTTCTACCCCATGGCACATGAGCAGCATTAAGGAGGATCATTTGGAGGGACACTGAGAGACACCCGGGGTAAGAGGAGCAAAGAGCCTACCACGGAGGGAGGAGGGGTGCAGAGTTCTCGTGATTATGCAGATAATCCCATGCCCAGCTCTGGAGAAGGCAAGAAAAAGAACATAATATGAAAAGGGTTGACGGGTGAGAGGAAGAAGAGAGGAGAGGATTGTGCTGAATTATTTTCCTCCTCTCTCTGTTTTCTGTACATTCTACTTCTGGAAGTATCAAGTGGCACTCACTAGCAGAAGGGGATAGGATTCTGAAGGATGGCTGGACATTTTATCACAACTTTGCCTTTTAATAATTTACTGATTATTTTTTTAGGTACAATAATGACATGCTAGTTCTGTTTTAAACGGGAGTCCTTATTCAGAGACATGTATTAAAATATTCATGGCTGAAAGGATGGGATGTCTGGCATGTGCTTTGCACTGCTCTGGGAGAAGGTGGGGAATAGGTGAAAGTGAGGGTACCATAAAATGGGTGAAATTAATAACTGCCGCGTGGAGTGATGGGAACGCCACATCCCACTACTCTCTCCATTTTGTACACATTTGACGATTTCCATAATAAGAAGTGCAGGTGTTTTTCTTTTTTGTTTCCTTATGGTTAGCTTCCATAAGACTTACGCTAGGGCATAATATAGTGACATAAAGCTTCCTTTCAAAACACACATGTGCAGCATAGAGAATGAGTCTGAAAAGTAGTCATTGGGGTAAAATATCTGAGCTGGCTTTCTTTTTTTCCTCTCTTTCATTTTTTGTTTTTGCCTCCTTTCTCAATACTGAGCTAAACCCAGAGCCTTTGCACTCCAGAGCTGTTGCATTCTGAGATAAGGTCCTAAGTGTTCTAGGCTCAAACTTGTGATCCTCCGGCCTCTGCCTACCAGAGTGCTGGGTAGAGCTGGCTTTCAGAGATGGTATCCCATAAGCAGAAACGATGGCATGGCTTACACAGGAAGGCACTCACACAGGGAAGGACGCAGTGATGATGTGGGGGCATGGGAAGGAAGCAGAAAGCCTGACACTGCAGCCCCTGGGGTGGGGAGACCCTCTTTAGTGTCCTGAGCTCCCAACGGGGCTTCCCATCCCTGCAGCCCTGGCCCATAGGTTCAACTCACCTGCAGCTGTTCTCACCCTCTGTGTGTAAGGAGGATTCAGCCCTTCGCAGGCCCAGGCGTGCAAAGGAGTGGTACAGAGTGAGTGCCACATCGCTCAGGCTGTGGACTCCATCAGGCTCATCGTACAGGTTCTCCCAGTAGGAGCGCAGGCCTGGGGTGCCTGTCGGGTAGTTCCCATACAGGTAGTAGTCCAGCTGCCCAATGATCTCCTGATTCACCACGGCTTCAAACTTGCGGGCAAAGAAAGTGGGCCGGGCTGTCTGCTGCACTCAGGAGATGGAAAAAAAACAAAAAACAAAACAAAACAAAACAAAACAGAACAAAACTCAATAGCAAGTGACAGTGGGGACTCTCATCTCAGAGTTCACCCCGTTGTGAAGCTCTAAATTCCAGCCTGACTCCTCCTGCCTCTCTGTGGTCAGTTTCCCTATCAGAATGGAGGCGGGCAGATGGAAGGATCCTGCCTATCCTTGACATCTATGAAGCACTGAAAGCAATGCAGGCACTTAGTATGCATCATGGAAATGTCTGTTAAATAAATTAAATCCTAGAGGTTTATAGCTGGGATGCCTCTCAGAGACCATTCAGCAGAGGTCACAGATAGTCGTCGAGGGCAAACACAGCCTGCAGGTGTATTTTAGTTGGCCGGCAGAATGTTTTAAAATTGAATTAGCTGGCAACATTTAAAAAGGGGACATGCCACAGAAATAATTTCCCTTTAAGCAGCAATTGATCTGATGACCCCAGGCCCAGGTTCCTGAGTGGTAACAGCTGGTTAGAGCTGAATGGTGGCAGGGGGATCCCTTTAGACAGGACATGGACTCTGCTGCTCCCTGCGATCCCCATCATCACCTCCCTTGTGCCTCTGGTGTTGCAGTGGACTTGCATATTCACCAGGGACACTAAAGATACTGATCAGAATCTCCAGGGATGAGCTGGAAAATCTGTATTTTTCACAGGGCTTCCAGGTGATTCATTTCCTAAGATCTGAGGATGACTCAAGTGATATCAGGTGCTGGTTGCACTTCAAAGCTACCTCAGTATTTTACAAATTCAGATTCTAGGGTCTTTCTTGAGATTTACCGAGTCCAGTTCTCTTGGGTGAAGCTCAGAAACATGTATCCAAAAGGAAAAAATGTCCCCAGCTGACTGAAGCAGTGTTTAAGAAGCATGAGTAGAAACTGAACCCTGAAGGAAATAGCACCAGAGAGAGGAAGGGACCTATCCAAGGACATACAGCAAGTCAGTGACAAGCCAGGATTCAGATTCATGCTTCAAGGCTAAAGAAATAAAACAGCTGAGCGCTTGTCACCTACCAGACTTTGCACTGTTTTCTAGGGTAGAGATTGGAAATATACTCAGTAAAGTGTCAGAGATTAAATAAGGTGCAGCTTTTAAGATACTCAACTCTGCTTTTGTAGCAGGAAAACAGCTACGGGCAAAATAGTAAATAAAGGGATAGGCTATGTTCTTATGAAACTTAGCTTACAGAAGCAGGCAGGCTTTTTGCCTGGGGCCTATAGTTTGCTGACCCTTGGTCTAGAAATAAATAAAACACAGTTCAGTCCCTTGAGAAACTTTGTTATTATGGACCTAAATTTGGTCTAGCACCGTCTGTGCTTAGTGAATTAACAGCAACAATAATGATAATAATAACTACTAAGCACATCCTGCATGCAGAGCATTGCATTTATGTCATTACTTCTAGCTCGACCAAGTTAGGGACTGATATTCCCATTTTATGGATGAGAACACCAAGCACAGAGAAGGAAGTGCTATGTACAAAACTGAGTTTTATTACTCCAAACCTTAGCTTTTTCTCTGGTGCTGCTGTATGATCAAACTAACTGAGCAAACTGGAAAAAAATAAAGTCCTTCATATTGTTTTAAACATCCCATGCCCCTCTGCTTCATGAGACCTGAGTTCCTCTTTTGTAGGGCAGAAGTCAGTTTGGTTCCTTAAGAGTAGTGCTGAATGGCTGAATGCAATTGGACTACCTGAGTTCAAATCCTTTGTCACTTTGCTAATCCTCTGTTTAGCAGTGTGTTTTTGGGCAAGTTACTATCCACTCTGATTTGCACATCTTTAAAATAGATATATAAACTAAGTATGGTGATATACGCCTATGATCTCAGTACTCTGGGAGGATGAGGAAGGAGGATCTCAAGGATCTCAGCCTGGGCAACTTAGCAGCTTAGTAAGACTCTGTCACACAACAATGAATAATGAAGGAGTGGGGATGTAGTTCATTGTGAAAGCCCTGGGTTTAAGTCTCAATACCACAAAACTGATAGTATATAATATCAGTTAACTACTATTATTATATGAGCTTAATCCTCAGTACCACAAAAAAGACAGTATATAATATCAGTTAGCTACTATTATTATATGATTATTATCTTTACTACTTCAATTTGCTTCCAGGCACCTGTCTATCCAGGTGACTGTAAGACTTCACTTCCCAGGGGAAGAAAACCAGCCTCAGTGGCAGCACAACCTCATTCCTCCGCTTAGAATCCTCTGACCACAGCCCAATCTTCTGAAAGGGCATGTTTCTATATTTATCATTCTCCTCCTTAGAGTACTTTGAACAAGAACACCAAGTTCCTTACAGGCAGGGTTTGCTTGATTCTAGATGTCCGGGATATTCTTGATCTTTGTTTACTGTGAAGGAAAGAGCTGAGAGCACATGACAAGATTTCCAAGCGAGCCATGCTTTATTATAAGCCACAATTTTCCCAGGATGCTGGGACTGGAATACAGATGCTGGTGCCCAGGAGGCACCAGGCGGAGGCTCTGGGTTCTTTCTCTAACTCATGAAGGTCCTCGGCAGCAGGGGCGAGTTTGGTCTCTGCAAACATAGAAGTCCTCTTCCTTTTCTTCTTTTGAATAGTTTAGATGTTTCCCTTGCAACCCTTTGTGTTCTACCGATCCTTTCCTGATGGACACTGGAGTCAAAACGCTACCCAAGCTCATCATCAGATAACACGGGTTTGAGGAGAGTTCTAGATAGCACTCTATCTGCCACCAAAAACAGCCCAAAAAAGAAGACACTAGGTCCTGGAGAAATTTAAGGGAGTGCAGATTACAGAATTAAAATCTGCTGTGTGCCTTACGCATGAGGAAACTCAAAACCAGGATGGCTTTGGGTATGATGGCATGGTAAGAAATATCAGAGTGAGGCACCTCACCCCCAGCCCTACCAAATTCACTAGCTGTTCGGGAAGGTGGAGAGGAGGAGGAAGCATAGAGAACCCCTCTTCTCCCAGCCCCTAGTCTGGCCTAGAGGGCTCAGAGCAGGGCAGGGGAATGGGAGGAGCTTGCCTTCAGGGTAGGATCTGAAAGCTGAGGCATCTCCTGCCCTCTTGCCTCTGTGATACTCAGAACTGTAAATTGCCAGGCTATGCTGAGACAGCTGTGAAGGTAATAACAGCTCTGTAGCTTGCTACTCCTTCAAGTTCACAGAGCACGGCAGTTTCTGAACCTGGTGGCTCATCAGATTTCTCCTAAAATGTAATACAACAAAAGTGTATGTTTTGGGGTCTTGTTGTTGGTCATTGGTTCTCAGCCAGGGACAGATTTATCTCCAAGGAACAACATCTAGCAATGTCTGGAGACATTTTTGGTTATGACAGCTGGAGAGGATGGGGATGCTGCTAAATATTCCACAGTGCACAAGACAGCTCACAGCACAGAAGGATCTGATCACAATGTCAAGAGTGCTGGAGTTGAAAAATTCTGCCCTTGATATATTCAAGCTGATAATAAGCAATGTTTTAACAAATATTTTGAGAAAATCTTTTTTAGCAGTATTGGGGAATGAACTTGAGGCATTCACATTGAGATGTTTTTATTTTTAATTTTTTATTTTGAGAGTGTTCTGCTAAGTGGCACAGTTGCACTAGCAGAACTTGAACTTATGCTCTTCCTGTGTCATCTCCCCAGAGCACTGGGACTATAGGCACTTGTCACTATGCCTAGTTTCCAGGGAATTGTGATTGAAAGGAAGTATACAGAAGTAGACAAGAAAGGCCCTTAGAAACCGACACATTGGGGACATTACAATATGACCTGCCATAAGGTTCCTGACCTTTCTATGCTTCAGTTTCTCTGTCTTTGAGATGGAATAATAGGACATATTATGAGATTGTTGTGGAGTTAATGAGTCCACACAGACAAAACGGGTTGAAGCATGGTCTAGAATCCAACTTCAACACCCACAGAATCTGCTATCTGTTCAGCAGATGGAAAATGTCTCCTAGTCTTGTCATGGAGCACACAGGTACAGTTAATGTTGGTCATTGTGGATGTTGTTATTATTATTACCAAAAGCCGGGTGGGGCAGTGAGGAATGACAAGATCCATGGATGCGGCCCTAGCTACCTGCAGATGTGTGCAGGACAGGCAGGGTGAGGGGTGCACGTGTGCTCACCTGGAAGCGGTGGAAGTCTTGGGGCTTGAAGTCATTGGGGGAACAGCCGCACCAGTCCACGATGTGCTTGTATTGGCACTTGCACCCCAGCTTGCGGTTCCAGTTGGTGATACGCAAGTTGTTGTCAACCATGGTGTCACAATGGGGGCTGTTCTCCAGGACTGTGTGGAAGAAGGACTGCAGGGAGAAAAAGTAGCCAGCTTGAGACCTCTTCCAGCTTTCCCCAAGTATACTGGGTGTGTGGTCCTCCTTGGTGCCTCCCCCTGTGAAAAAGTTCCCCGAACTCCATCTGTTCTCCACGGGCAGGGAGGTCAGCTGCCACACAGTCATCTAGTGCAGTCTCATGCTTTGTCCAGGGTGGCTAAATTCTTTCTACTCTGAGATCTGTCTTCCCCAGTACCTAGATTCTGATTTCAAGACATCTGTTACCACACAGGGCATCTACTGTCTTTTCAGCAGATGTAAAAAGTCAGGTTAGGTCAACGTATACGAGCCAGATATACAGAAAAATGTTTTCAGGAAACCAAGAGCTAAAAGGACCCTCTGCTTTGCAGAGAGCCAAATTTGAAATTAAAGGACTTCAGGTCTAATTTAGCTTGGTGAAAATGGCTGGTGTGCTGGAATTTTACTCCTGGGCATGGGAGGCCAGATCCATGGGTCCACCAATCCCAGATCTGAAAAGTATCCCAGGCCCTCACTTGCCTTGGTCACTCACACAGTGTGACCACCATCCAGGGAAGTCAGGCCCGTGTGCTGTCCAGTACGCGGGGTAACTATAAGCAAGGGAAATGGAGAATGGTTTGCTGTCCATGGTGCTGAACAGGACACCAGACCTCACAGTATGACTGCAAAATGGAACGTGTGGGCCGCTTGCTGTCCGTCAAACTGAACCAAATCGCTTCTCCTTAATCCTAGGATCCTCCATCACCCTCTCCAAAGCATCTGAGGAGTCAATGGTGAGTGAAAAGAGCAGCCAGAGAGAAAACACAATGGTCGGAGCTGCTGATATTGAAAGAAGGATGAGGGGAGGAAGAGAAATTTTCATCTCACCCCTTCGTTACAGCAATCTCGGCTACCAGAAGAACATGTTTTCCACTGCTCTCTGGTCTCTAAGTAAAGATATTAGGGCATTGGTGTCTGTTACAAATCTGTGGGCAGCTTTCAGATTTCTTCTAATCTAGTCTGCTGGGGAAAGGAAAAACAGCAGCAATGCAGTGATGGAAGGAGAGAGTCTAAAAGAAAACCTGGACACATTTGCATGTGTGTGTGGAGGGGGAACACGGGAAGTGCACAAAGTACACACAAACCTGTGACCAGCTTCAGTATTGTGGGCTTCCTGATGAAAACAACCAAACTCCCAAAGACCCCTTCTAAGTCAGTGGATGGACAAGATGAAACTCCACCCACCACACGCTGCTGGCCTTCCTGTAATGCTAAATGACATGTCGGTGGGCCTGAATTCAAGCTTGAATCATCCACAAGCCCGCAGAGGCACCTATTCTCTATCAAGCAGTGGCAGTGAGGACCCAATTACTGATTGCCCTGTGTCTTTTCATAATGATGCAGAAATTCCCTGTGAGATAATGGATGAGGAGGTTATCAGAATTGAGAGAAAGGTGATTTTCACTGAAATAGGATTAAAAGCAGATTACTTAACATGTGTGTAGAATAGTAAAACCTGGCCTGCTGAGGACAGAGCATCATCATCCCTTTGGAGTGATGTGGGCAGTCGGCCCTCCCTGAAGCTGGACACTGCCCTACATGCTAATGAGAGAAGTGGATATCATCAGATAAGATGCACTGTGAGGTCCGGTCTGCAGAAGCACACAACCCACAAGGTCTAGAGGTGGGAGCCTGCCAGGGGAAAAAGAATGGACCATTTAAGAGAAATGTCACAGGCTCTCTAGGAATGGAAAAGGCTTTGGAGTTTTATGACTTTGGAAATTAGATTCAAAGTGACCTGGGGATCAAGGAGATGACTGGAGGCAAGATTTGACAAGAAAACTGCTGGCATGTTGGTGACAACCCTTCAGAACTGGACTCATGCTGTTTCCAGAAGGCCTGGGAATGATCTGCTACCTGACACAGTGGGACTTCCTACTCTGAGCTGTGAAAAGTAGTTTCAAGTCCCCGCATTTTTTCCAAATATGGTCAGTGGGGCCAAGTATCTTGAGTTGCTTTTTCTACACTGTACAAAGATACAATGCAAGTTGTTGTTAGTGTCTATCACGTGGCCTCTCTCTAGACTGGAGAGGGACAGGAGCGTTGCTAGGACAGCAAGGTCTCTGGAAGCTCATGCAGCTCTCCACCTTTATCTGAATGCTTGGGGACAACACTGGTAGACTGGCATCACTTTGTCAAACATTCAGTCACCCTTGCCCCGAGGCAGTGCCAGCTCCAACCTATCTCAGGAAGCTTTCCTGGAACTTACCTCAGCAGGAAGCAGAGTGTAAGAGTAGAACTGCTTCATCTTGGTCACCAGATCGTCTGTGGAAAATGTCACATACTCCACAAACTTCCGGTTTAGCAGGAACCAGTCAGAGCCACCATCTACAGCAATACCCTCGGGAATACGCCGGTCCCCCAGGCGCCACATGTGGGCATCACACTCCAAGAAGAGCCGATCCAGGCCTTGCTTCCTGATGAACCTGGAAGGAAAAAGTAGCCCTGAGCCCAAGCTGGCCTGAAACAGACTCTGCTGAGAGTGTCAATGATGTCATCACAGTGATAACAGCATTGATTGAGACCTTGCTATTTGCCAGGTACTGAGACAAGATGACGGAACAGGGGACTTGACCATCACCATCAGATGGCGATGATTATCTGCTAGATCTACTTCCTTTTCAGTGCATTTTTCAAAGCACTTTTGTATCATCACTTTTGAGCAATCTGATGTTTGAAGACTGGGGGTGTCATCTCAGAATAGTGCTCCAAAATGCATATGGCAAAAGCTGCAGAAAACCTACACCAAAGTTATGATACAGTGATATGTGTGTCTCTTCACACATTACATAGAGAATTACAAAATATTTTGGAAAATGCCAAATTCATGTTTCTTTGTACATTTCTTTATTAATACTTCTAGTAACAAAGTGCCACAGCAAGTCTAATAACTTACACATTTTTGAGTAGGCGTGAGCATAAATGCTATCTAGACATGTCCGCATCAAATGCAATGTGATAGGAAAGTGATGTGTTTGTGTGTGTGTGTGTGTGTGTGTGTGTGTGTGTGTGTGCATGTGTGAGGTGTTAAAGATTAAACCCAGAGGTGCACTACAACTGAGCTACAACACTATCCTGATTGATTCACTGATTTACAGAGTTTTACTAATGTGCCCAAGCTGGCTTTAAACTTGCAATCCTGCCTCAGCCTCCCATGTAACTGTAATTACAGTCCTATGCCACAGTGCCTGGCTGGAAGTATATGATTTTTATTGGTGACCGATTGGTTACTGCTGGAACTATCACAGTTCGGTACCTACCTTCAGTTATATTTCAGTCAGAAGTTGCTGGAAATAAGTATATTACCTGCTTCCCATATGAAGTCATGTAACCTCCTCTCCTGAGTTCTCCCTATAAACCCTCAGACTAGTAATTCCTGTGCTCCTATGTACATTTATATCTAATAATCACATTCAGCTATTTATTTATAATTATCCCCTACTCTCTGATATAGAAAGGACACGGGGATGATGAGTGGAGGGTGGACACAGCTAAAACTAATCCTGCTCACACTTTCAAGTGCATTGAAGGAAAGAATCATAGCACACTCACTGTGTGCCAGGCACCATGCTGGACTCTGACAGGGGTCCAGGAATTAAAAAAAAAAAAAAAAAAAAAAGAGCCACAGAGTCAGTTATCTCGTGAGGACAGTGCAGCCCAGGGACATTTTTGTCCCTCCCACCTGCTGAGAAACACACATTTCCAGGATCCTGGAGTCTTCAGTTCCTTCCACATGATGTTCTTTATGAATAGTTCTTTATATTACTACTGCCACAATCTCCCTATCCTATGTATGACTGCCACGCCGACTTCTGCTCAGGGGTTTTGTATCTGCTTGAAAGGCTCACCCCAAGACGGGTGACTTCAGAAAATGAGAAATCCTGAGTCTGTTTCCCCTTGGTATAAATGAAAAGTTGGGCTAGGTCTGGATTATAAAGTTCAGTGCCTATTGTGGTCAGACAGACCACGGACACTGTGAATCAGGTTGAATGTAAGAAGGGAAAGTGGTGGTTCTGCCTGCAGAGAAGTAGAAAATTCACATTTTTGAGAAACACGTTCAAAACAGTGTTCCCAGCCAAAAAATCCAAAACAAATGAACAAACAAACAAACAAACAACAAATCTCAGGCTGACTCCTGCCCCTAGACCTTCAGTCATGATTCCAGCTGTGACCTTCTGCAAGCCACTCCATTACACCTAAGAAGAAGGCATGGGGAGCATTACATTACACTACACACAGAGAAGCTCAGAGAAGGTCGATGACTCTCCCAAGGACACACAGAAGACTCACACAAACAGAAAATCCAACTGTCCAATGTTCCTGGTCTTCTTTCTTTAACATATTTTGTCACATACAAAATCCAAGCTTCTTAGCAAGTCATGTTCTAGTTTAGTGAGGGGACTTAGTAAACGTGTTTTCATTATAGTCACATTATCACATGAAGACATGACTGGGCCATGACAGAAAGCTGCATTGAGTTTAGGAAGATGAAATGCTACTTCAGTTCTTGCTAGTGCTAATGATATAAGAATATCTAGTCAATGCATATGACCATAATTAAAACTTTAAATTTTTGATAACTTAAATGAAAAGTTACATGGGAGCAAGACTGGGTGGAGGGGAGAAAATACAGGTGAGGAGACTAGCAAATTTTTCCTTTTATAGCTCATCTTTTTAATTTCATGTTCCATTATATGGGTAACAGTATGGTCTTGCAATATTAATGTGATGTCCCAAGCCATAATATTCAAATGCAATATTTATGCAGTCATCTCCAAGATAAAATATTCATGACATTGGGAGATTGGCCTCTATAATTACTGCATTCAAAAACTGATAAGCTTCAACTTTATGCTTTCATTTATTATGAGTAAGTAGAGACATCCAGTTCTCTACAACTCAGAACAGATTTTGGGGTTACAGAGGCTAACAAAAACTTAGCATTGGCCTGAGAGAAGACAGAAGAGGTCCAGAGTTTGGGTATCAACTACCAGAGAAGAATGAGGTGGCTCGAATCTGTAGCTCAAAAGTATGGCTCAAAAAGGAGAAACTGGAAGGTAAGGTGAGTTGGTAAAGACACACCTGGGCGTCTCTCTTCATAAATGCTGCCTTTGACTCCTGAGAGATGAAGCACATATTTGCAGTAGTGGGCTCAGTACACAGAAGGGGAACAGAAATGCTCTCTCTCCTCAAGGGCGTCTCCTGTCGGCATGATTATACCCAGGACAAGTGGGGCAACAGATGCTGATATAGCAGCAGAGCATCATGATACTGGAGAGACATGGGTACCAATCTTGCATTTTCATAAAAGATGAGAGTCATGACACCTGCTCTGTTAACCTCCCCAAACAAAGTATGATGAGGATGGGGATACTTTGCAAATGGCCTTGTGACATGTTTAAGTAGTGTTTATCCAGGCAATGAACTCACTAAATTATCACCCTCTTCTTACATAATAATAATAATAATAATAATAATAATAATAATAATAATAACATTCTTCTCCCATCCCTAGCATCCCTGATTCCCATTTCATAACTTCTTTTTTCTGCAGATGCTTTAACTAATAGAATATGCACAGTCATTATTTAGTTTATTGGCCGTTTTTACTTATGAGATCTAAACTCCAAAAGGACAGATTTTTATTTATTCTTGTTCACTGCTGTATTCTTACTGTCTAGCATGTAGCAGGTGCTCTATATGTATTAAATGAATGAATGAAATGAATGAATGAATGAAGGGGTGAATGAATATATTAGTTAACCAGGGGTCAGATTCTTCTAACACATGTTTGACAATCAAACAAAGCAAACTTCAGAAAGCTTCAGTAATTTTCTCAATCACACAGGATTTGAACCCATGTCTGGATAAATCCAGTGCTAGTTCTTGATTACTCTGCCACTATTTACTGTCTTCATTCACTTTAAAAGGGGCAGAAGTGAAGGATCTGAGAACAATTACTGCCTCAAAGAGACAATGCTCCAACATGAGAGAGAAGCAAGAGAAAAGTGTCTTTGTTGGTGTTGGAGGAGGTTTTCTGGGGACCCCATAAGGACTTATGTCCTCATGGAAGGTTACCTGAAGCCATTTACCTTCAGTTTGACTTTCTAGGATTTGAGAAATTGGTGGATTATCTTCCTGACAATTTTTTTCTATTATCACAGTATGGGGCGAAGTCACAGCTCACTATGGCTGACTGGGAGCCACACTGACAAAATCTATCCATCAAAGCAAATCGTCTAAATCAGATGAGGGCCCTAATTAAATCAGAGGGGAGGATCTTGACAGCCTGCTAGGAGGGAAGAGGTCAGTGAAGAGAGCCTTGTGGCCTTTGGAAATGATGTCAGAAGAGAAAGGCAGTGAAGGATTTTCTCATTTATGTTAGTTCCTTGAGTTATAGTCTTGATACATGTTCAAGTGTGAAATTACCCCAGAACTGTCTTGTCCGATTATGCATTCTAAAAAGAAACCTGCCACTTAGATTTTACAGAAAGTTTGAGCAAGAAGGGACCTTAGAAATCAACTATTATAACACTACAATGGAAGAACAGGACAAAAGAACTGAGACAAAGAGAGGATGAATGATACATGCAAAGTCATGCAGCTTAAAAACAAACAATCCCCAAACACTTTTGTTCTTCTGTTTTCCTGTCCAGTGAAATGCTGTTGAACCCAGATTGCTCCTTTAGTATAAGTATGACCTAAGCATTTTAGTTAAAAGATAAAGTCAAAGATTACAGCACAAAAACCCTACTATATGAAGCCAACCAATGAAGTGAGCAAGTGCACATGTTCTGGCCACATGAGGCAGCGTCCATGTTTGGGCCTTGAAGCCAGAATACTTGATCCATATCCCACATTCTAACCTTAGACATCCTTATCCTGTGGTGCTCAGAATCGCATGTGGAAATGGTGATCATAATGCTTACCACCTTAAGGAATTGGTGGGAAGACTTATGAAGTCTGATTGAATATGCCACTTTCTGAAGGAGCCCTGGAAGTTCTCTTTAGTGAGTGTCTTTAGTGACACTGTCATGGCTGCCTTGATGACCAGAATTGATTCAAAATGTTTGCCTTTCGTGGTCATTTTGAGCTTGAAGAAGAGTTACAAGTCACAGGGCTTCAGACCCAGTAGATGAGGACACACTCATGTTTTCATTATCCTGCCTGTCCACTGAATAGCACCTGGCAGTAGAATTCTTTGTATTTTTGTTGCACCTTGTAAAAACACAATAATAAATATGGGATAAGTGTGTTTGAGGGGAGGTGGAATCTTTTGAGGAAAATTAGTAGCAGTATTTCTTTTACTCTAAGTGTTTTTAAAAGTTTAAACACTGACTGAAGTTTATTTTTTGAGACAGGATCTTGCTATGTAGGCCAGGGTGGCCTAGAGCTCACGGCGATCCTCCTGCTTCAGCTTCCTGAG